CCCCAAAACCCCAAAACCCCAAAACCCCAAAACCCCTTGTTAGTATTTATTATTGAAGCAAGGATCAGCAAAAATGACGTATAATACGGTGAAATAGACGTGGATAGACTAATCTGAACTATTAATTGATTTGACAGACAAATTCTACTTTTCAGCACATTGAATCTCTCAATGTTAGCCCTTGAGAAAGTGAGTAATAGGATTGTAGAGATTCCTGAATTCATGTAATAATTTCAATTCAATTTATACGCATTTTTATGAACTTTCTTATTAAAATTCATTCGATCATACAACATTTCAGAATGATAAGATGAATTTACTTCTGAGCAGACCATTTTGACCCAGTCTTGTTCATCCGAGAGAAACATTTAGACTTTGAGCGACTTTTCTTAACATTAGAGATCAATCGCCTTCCGTCTATTGGAAAGAGTTCTATACTTCTAATGAACTCTTTCCTTAATTTCCATTTGTTGGGTTGGAGAAGTCTCAATTTTGCTTTAGAGTTCTTCACTCTTTGCTTACTAGGTTTCGAAGTACAACTATTGGTGCACATTGAGCTCCCGAGCTCGCTCTTAATTCTTTGGTTACTAAATAGTTTCTATATAATGTCGACACAAATCACAAATACTAATTGATGGGGTTCGGAAGTAGGTATCGATACGCTATGTTTCAAATTCTTTAAGCTTGCAGCATTTCTACTATGCAGCTTCAACATCTGCTTTGTCTTTATAAGTTGTGAGAACCTATCCATCCTTGGGTTCATTTTCCTGCTCATGATGCTCTGGCTAGAGGCATTTGTGTAAGGGCTGATTTCGGTAGCCAGGTCTTTGAGAGAAGGAAAGTTCCGTGACCCTCCAGACACACTGACTGAATTAGTCTTCCCATCAATAGAGTTACTTAGAATATTACAAGAGTTCTCCTTCTTGAAGGATTTCAGGTCAGGGATGTCTAGCTTGAGGAAGGTTGTGGAGATATTCTGACTATGTTTCTGTGAGGTATTCTTTGGAATCAATAAAACCTTCATCTCTTGGATTTTAAATTTCCTCCTGGATTCATGAAAATACAATTTTTCTTTCCTAAAATTCTGATAAGCTTGGATGCTCACTGCAATAACAAAAAGCTATGCTGATTTAGAGTTAAGATAAAGCACAAAAATTGAGTTTAAACATCTTATTTATTGGTAGGGTTTACGCTTCCTAACTTTTAAGCAGGAATATGACAGAAAGATGGCTATAAAACAAGATGCAGCTGAAGCTGAAATTTGTACCAATGAAGGACCCAAACTATGTACAAACAGAAGTTTACCTAGATACGTGTCCTTGGAGCTCCTTTTCAAAAGTCATCGACCTTAATGCCATAAAGTGTTTTTATGTTTCAAGAGAATAGTATTATTATAAACTTGTTTGTCAACCTTATTCATACCTATTGGGGTTTTGGGGTTTTGGGGTTTTGGGGTTTTGGGGTTTTGGGGTTTTGGGG